GCACTTTGTCGCATAGGTGGAATGGGCGCCATCTTGATTTTTTTGGAATTTATTGAATATTTCGTAAAGTATGCATTATATCAAAAAAACTCAAGAGGACTTTTTTGTGAAGAATCAAAAGTTACCTATAATGGGAGAAATTTAAAGACCATCAGCTGCAAACGAAAAAGTTATTGACATTTATTTCATTTGGCAACATGGAATTTTTCAAAACATCTGAAAAAAACTCAAATAAGTATTTTTTTTTTTGGTGCAGAATTAAAAACTACATTTAATAGAAGAAAAATTCAATAAATTTGATGATCTAAATATTTTTGCTGAGAGGAAGCAAAAACGCATATGACCAGAAAAACATTTGGGCAGGAAACTACCCAGACACAGACAGCACACAAAGTCTTAAAGACGTCTTTTTTAAGTCTGCATTCTGCATTATATCTGACCGTCTGAAGACCAAAAAAAAAAAAACTTCCATAATCAGATGTCCTAAATTCACATCTCAAGGATAACTGAACTGAGCCACACTATTTCGTTCGGCCAGGTCTAGAAGTGAATAATGGTTCATGTATTGAAAAGAGATTTGAAGACTTCTTTTAAAAATTTCGTTGGAGACGAAGAATGTCTTAGTTCTAAAGGCGTCTTTATAGGCAGACTTCTGAAAGGCGTTGGGTTTTGTAACATACGTCGTCTTTAGGATGTCTTTAAGACGCCTTAAAGATTTCCCACAGAATTCGTTTTTCATTTAATTTTAGAAGTTACTTGAAACCATTTAGAATCCTACAGAACACTTTAGAACTTCAATAATAAGCCTTTTCGAAAGTTCAAAACACTTAAAATTCAACTCATAATTTCCAACAGCATTGTGTAGCACTTCAGAACATTTTGAAAACTTCAGATCCATTATTAGAATGGAGTATTTTGGAACAATTTAGAAACTTCAGAGATATTTTAGAACAATAACGATTCAATTTAGAACTGGAAACCTTTTAGAATGCTTTTAAACCAATTCAACTTCACTTTGGAACTTCAATAGGGCTCTAAAATACTTAAAAATCTGTCAATCTGTCAAATGAACATTTTGAAATTTAACATGGATCCTTCGAAGAAGGGAACTTCCCAATTTAGAAATTACTGAAAAACTTCTAGAATGCTCCAGAACCCAGTCAACTTGGAACACTTTAGACAAACCTCAGAATTGTGCCAGAGAGCCTAATAAATAATAATAATAAAAATAAAATGAGTAATAAATAATAATGAAATATTAACAAGAAAATGTTCCTCTTTCAATTCAAATTCTTGAATTTTTATAATTTTTCCTATTCCAGGCTCTTGATTTTTCCTTACTTCTTCATCCTAAATTCTTAATTTTCTTTTGGCTTAGATTTTTTTTCCATGTTCTTGAATTCTCATTATTCCTGTATTTTAGAATTTCAGGTTCTTGACTTGTTTTTCAATTTTCAGTCCTGTCTCTTCAAATAGTTTTCTACCAAAATGAATTTTTCGTATGTTTCCGTTTAAAGAAATCTATAATTTAAGACCCTAGCGTTTAGAATAGACAAAAATTGAAAGTTATAAAATGAGTAATGATAATAAAACATCAGTTCTGAAGACGTCTTTAGGCAGACGTCTGAAAGACGTTGGGTTTTGTAACACGACGTTTTTAAGATGTCTTTAAGACGCCTTGAAGACGTAAGCCGACGTCTGAAAGACGTCCTGAATGTCGTTTGTGGACATCTTAGGGACGTCTTTAAGATGTCTGTGTACTGTCTGGATAGACACTAAGTAATTCAAATAAATTAAATTCTATACTTTAAGGTTTATAAAAAAATCACTAAACCTTCACAGTAGTGAAAGAGAAAGACTGGAAACTTGAGAACATGCTTTAAACCTTTGACACCAAACTTTTCGATAATAACTGTTGTTTTTTTTATCTCAATAAAGGTATCTTTAATCCTCTACTAACAGGCATTCTTAAGTTTTATTAAAAAAATCCATACATTTCGCGATTTTACCTAAAGTTCAAAAATTTCCAGATTTTTAAATAAATTAATTCCCAATAACTTTTTTGTTTTCCAGCTTATAGTGTTGGAATTTCTTTTATTATAAGTAACTTTTTATTCTCCACAAAAAAGCACTCTTGAGTTTTTTTTATATAATGCATACTTCACGAAATATTCAATAAATCCGAAAAAAATCAAGATGGCGGCCATTTTTTTTTCAAGTTCAACCGATGCGACAAAGTGCGATTTTTGAGGGATTAATTAGGACCCTATCGACTACAAATTTTCGCAGAGATCACTTTGTTACTAATTTTTTCTACCTCACCTGCATAAACCTGCCTAGATTGACTATACCTATGCCCACGGCGCCATAATGAATACCAATTGAGAACGAAAACGACCAACCTTACCTAGAAACTCTAGAAAGATTATTGATTCTTGGGTTGTGAAATGACAAATGTCGAGTTTTTCTTAGTCGACCCGAGCCGACTGTATTTGACCGAATGGGCGTTAACAATCCCTCTCACTTCCAAGAAAATTTTTGTGCTAAACGTGCCTGAAGAAGTTTCCACTTCAGAAAGTTTATTTTTGTTACGCTGAAAATACATTTGGTTTTGTTCATGGTGAGATTATTCTCTTGCAATCATTTCAAAATTTTTTGCAATACTTGGTCATGTTCTTCTTTGCTTTTTCCAAACACAAGTATGTCATCAATCACTTAGGTTAATTAATTCTGGAATTTATAATCCACATGAATTGAACGTTGTTATGTACCAGGATTATTGTGCTAGGCTAAGTTAATAGTATCCATCCTTCAAATCGATTTTGCTAAACATTTTGGAATCATCCAGTTGTGTTATCAGTTCGTCAACAGTTGGTGTTAAATAACGTTCTCTCATGCATATTCTGATATTTTTAGGATTTCCTTGTTTGGGAATACGAACAATAACAATTGGTGAGACCCATGGAGTTTGTCCTTCAACTTTCTCGATTATGTTCTGTTCTTCAAGTCTAGTTATTTCTTCTTCAACTGATTGTCTTACATGAAATGGTACTCGGTGTTTCTGTGCTATGGCTGGAACATTTGTATCAATATAAAGCCTAATTTGGATGTTTTTCAAATTTCCAACGCCTTTCGTTATCTCAGGATAATTCTTTTCTATATATTTTAAGTTTATATTACTGTTTAGGAAATTTGCGCTTATGGAAACAATTTTTAGGTCTCTTGAAGCTTGGTAAGATAAAATTGATCCAGATTCAGCCTTTATAACCCGAATAACAGTCTGAATTCAGTTAAGCTTTTATGTTCCATAATTACTGAAAGTTTTCCCATAAATTATGATGAAAAACAACAAACTTGCATTTTTGGGGACTTACTCCTCAATTGAAATTGTTACCAGATGTTTCTTGATCTTGAAACGAATTACTTCAAGCTCACTGATGGAGTCTATTTTACCTATCAAATTATTTTTATGAAAATTGGAAATTCTTGTTTGTCAGCAGGCAGCAGAGATTCAAAAAAGTTTTCTTTGTAGGTTTTCTCGCTAATCAGGTTCACAGATGTACCAGTATCAATAGTAAATTGAAGTTTTTTATCGTTAACTGATAAAGTAACATGTGGTAGACTTGAAATTTTGTTTGTTACCAGGTTGAATGAACAATTTGATCTTCATTGTTTTGATCGTTTGTCTTTTGATTGTAATTCACTATTGATTGTACTTTATTTTCAAAACTTTTGTTAGTATAATCATCACTTTTTTGTGGAGCATCATTCGACTTCATTTGACTTGACCTTCATTGGGTGTTTTGTGTTCTGTTGTTGAGGCACTTGTTGAATGAACTTGCTAAATGTCCTTTTTTGAGCATTTGAAACAAATTACGTTCAAAGCTGGGCAATTTCGTCTTATATTTCTATGCCAATTATTACCATAATTTTAACAAATTTTTTCTTCACTGTTTCTTGTTTAACTGTTATTAATTCTCCTTTGTTTCTTGCTGCTATAGTTCTTCACTCTGCTCACATTCTCAGCTGTAATATTGTTTTCCATTTCATTTAACTGCAGCTTAGTTGCCTCGTTCCTTGGGTTATAAGTTAATCAAGAGATATGGGTTCTCTGTAAGTGCGTATCTTCCTAACATGGTTGATGTAATACCTTCTTCAATTTGAGACTTTACCTCTCGATCTTTATTAGAAATATTACAGTTTAAGCTTAACTTTAATAGTCTGGTATAGTATAGGTACTCGACAATTATTGTTTCCTCATCTGATTGTTTTGCCGGTCTGAAATTAAAAATCTCAAACTCCGTGTTGACTTTTGGAGAAAAATAGTTGTTTAATTTCAATTTGGCTCTATCATACTTTGTTAAAGTTTACTAGGGCATTCGTATTAGGGTCGATAGGAACTTGTGGATCTGGCAACGATAAAGATATAACAATTACTTCTTCACCGATACTGTGCAAAAGCATTGCTTGCTTTCGCTCATCGTTGGTTATTCCTGCTGCTATTAGAAAGTTATAAAACCGTTTTAACAATTTCTGCCATCTTATCCGTTCCCCACATTTCCACTTCCACCATGGGAAGGTTAAAAACTTCCACATTCTTGAGGCATCCATGTTCTTTTTCTATAATATGGCTTGCTTTCGTCGCTAAAATATACTATTTGAGATGATGTGTTATTTATTTGTTTGTCAAAATATTAAAATAAAAGTTCACTCAACTTGGGAAATAGGAAGCTATCCCCCTTCTCTATTTTCAACATAACCTATCCTTTAACAAAACCAAGATCCCTGTCATTCGATTCACAGAATAACAGAGCCGTAACGTTAAAGATCACACTTGGCACCCAAGCTTTGAGCAATGTATTTTGAAACTCACACATGCTATTGAAAACTGAAAAAACATCAATAATCACTATACAAAATTAGGTCTTGATAGATGGCAAAATGATAATAATGAAATTAAAATTTTTAATAATAAAAATATCACATCTACATTTTCTTAGATCATGCCTATGCCAAAGCAGTAGATGCAGACGACGCCGACGCTTGCATACTGCTGAGCGAAACCTGTAAAAGAGAAGAGGCGATATATATTTTACAGGTATCTATAAAATTACTTGACAAAAAAAAGAATGTTATTTAGTAATATTATTCTAGGATCAAGTTGAGGTGCATCAGAGATGCCTCTCCCTCTACATGGACTTGGGCTCTAGATCGTTAAGTGAAAATTTGGGAAATTACTGCAACAAAATGCCTTATATTAATGAATGTGCTCAACTAACAATCCGAGCAGGTGCACCAAATCCGGAAGGAAAATGTTTCTTGAAAATTTTTGGAATCATAAAAGATTTTCAAAATTTTTTGTGTTCTAATTCTGAAAATGAAAGTAGATTAGCAAGTAAGTTTATCATTTCGTAAAAGTTAAATTTTTATTTTTTTTTTATTCGCCTATTAGTAGTTATGGTTGTTTTATAATTCCACGATATTTTTTACCACTTTACTTACACGTACCTAACTATAACAACGCAGTCCCTAAAAGAACAATGGAAAAAGTAATAAGAATATTTACATATTATCATTTTTATTAAGAATAGGAGAAAGTCAAATATTAAATCAGTGAAAATGAATACTTTGGAATTCCAAAATTTAATAATATTTTACATTTTTCCACACGAAATCTTATTATCATTGCCCAGTACTTACAGAATAAATGATAATCAACCTTTTTATTGCAACTCAAAACTTTAGCTGCATTTATACAACAAATAAAATGATCCTATTTCATAAGTTACAATAACAAATAAGAAATAATAAATGAAAAATGCGTCGGCGTTTATAGAGACCAATAAAATAAAATAAGAAATAATTTTGGACCAATCGAAAAACAGGGTGTCGTGCCCCACCCAGGTTTTCTCAGGTTTTAGGTGATTAAATAAAAATCGCTCGAACACGTCAATTTTTGTTTTTTGGGAGACACATTTTATTGGTATTTTCACCCTCTACCTGTCAACCCCTAAGTGGAAGTGACAGGTACCCCCAAAATTTCAAATGGAAAGAGCAGATAAGTGATACGTCATTTGATAGTTATTTTCATTAAGATTATATCTCCGAAGTTTTAAGTTGCTACTATTTACCCTGTCGAAATGGCGGCTTGTCAAAGTTAGGAAAAATCAATGGGAAAATGCTGTGTGGTTTTTACCTGTTACCTACGCATAGGTGTGACAGGTAAAAACTATACATATACATACAAGCATTTATCCTAATTTTGACATACCGCCATTTCGGCAGGGTAAATAGTAGCAACTTAAAACTTCGGGGATATAATCTTAATGAAAATAGCTACCAAATGACATATCACTCGACCCCTCTTTCCATTTGAAATTTTGAGAGTACCTGTAACCCCCACTTAGGAGTTGACAGGTAGGGGATGAAAATACCAATAAAATGTGTCCCCCAAAAAACAAAAATTGACGTGTCTGAGCGATTTTTGATTAAACATCTAACACCTGAGAAACTCTGGGTGGGAAGTTTTTCGTGCCCCACCCTGTATATGTTTTGCACATGTGCCCATCCAACTGGATTTCAAAACAGTTCATATTCGCATTTTTCAAAAACAGCTGACAAAAAATGAATATACCGGAGCATGCGTACATCCATTTTCACATAAAATTAAATAAAATAAGATAGGTAAAAAGTTAAAAGTTGGCCAACTTTTATATTTGTTATTTTCTGTATAAACACTTTAAGGGTATCTCATGGGGTTAACTGTCATCTCTTATTAGTTATTTTAACTTATGTTATCTTATTTTATTTGCTGTATAAATCCAGGTTTTCTAGCTCGAATTTGACATATTTTTTTATTTTTTTCAGTGTTTATAACTGCAGGAGGAGTAGAATGTATCAAAGAACATCCAGTTGAAAATTGTTTCGATGAAGTTTTGGACAGACTGCTACTAAATACACAAACGGATTTATCAATAGCAAATTTGGCAATTTTTATATTCACAACACTTGATTGTCAGTAAGTTTATTTTTTTACATATAGAAGTATTCTATTTAACCGCTCATATCATTATTAGGGAATTCAACAAAATCCACACTTGCATGGAAGAAGTTTTGGAAAAATGTGAAGATACTGCGCCCGCTATGCTTGTAGATGCTTCTTTTGAATTTATCAAAAACCAAACAGATTGTAGGTCAGAAATAGGAGTTGCTGTCAAAGTGTTTCTTGTTATAGGTACATATTATATGTGCCAATATACTATTATTGCCATCATAATAAAAACAAAGTTTTACATGCGCTTTTCAACCAGGAGGGCACCACCTATCAACGAATAAATTGCATTTAAACGGAAGAAACCCTGGTATAAAGCAACACCATATATAATACCGTCCAACAATTTTCTTGTTTGAAAGTGTTTTTTGTTAATTTGTTCATTGTATTTTTTTATGTAATAAATACAAGTTTTAAATTGATTGACGAGTATAAATAAGTCCCAAGCCACGAACAAGTCCGAAAGATTCAGAGATTTTATTTCCTTATTTTGGTTTCAGCAATCGCAATACAATTTCTGATAAAGTACGGAATCGAATCATAGATATAAATTAAATTGTTTGTTCACATGTATATTTCTATTTCCGGCTTTTATAGTTTCCAATAACAATAATTTAATAACTCACTATCGGCGAGTAGATAACATATTTTTAGCACGGATAAATTTTTCTATGTTTATCAACTTTCTATGATTCATAATGATTATTATGAATGTTTATGATAAACAACGGATGTCGTTGAAAGTTGAAATTAGCAACAGATTCAGGAATGAAAATCGTTTGTACATTTGATCAAATAAATAGTGCTCCTAATGAAGAATCACTTGTCCAGGGCGGGGTTGAAGGAAATACCTATATCAGAAATTTTGTAGCACCACCAAAATCAGTGGAAATATTGCTTGGGAAGATCTGAGTGATATATCAAAAAATCACATATTTATCTCGGGGCTGAAGTGGAAAATTCAACCCCTAAACTAAAAAAAATCATCTTATGGTGCTTTTTTGATATGTCAATCGGATTTTCTCAAGTAATATTTCCAACAATTGTGGTGATGCTTAAAAAAATTTCAAAGAAGTTTTTTTTTTGTTTTGTTCATGTCATTTTAACTGATCGCATAACACTGTCCAATTCAAAAATCTCTCTGCCTCGACGACCCGAGGCGCCGCAACTAGGAGATGGCGAACTAGGCGCGAGCCTAGGGTTCCAGAATACCGAAGCGCCTTCGCGCCAAATAAAATCCATATACATTTGTGAAAAATGCAGAGAGATAGATACCCTTATACTACTTAAAAACACAATTGATGATAAGTGAAGTATTATCGCTAGCAAAGATGAGATTATAGACCTACTCAAAAAAAAATTCAGGATCTGGAACCTGCCAAGAATAGCTTAACCTCTATTACGTATCCCCAAATATCATATAGTAGTGTAACACAAAAATTTGCTAATACCTACAGATAATAATAAATTGGTAATAAATATTGTGCCCAGTTTGGTTATCGAGCCCAAACGACAACAGAATCTAGAAAAAACAGAGAACGATTTAAGAAATAAAATAAACCCACCTGCCATAAAGGCAAGGGTACTTGATGTACTACAAATGGAAATATTATAGTAAAATGTCAAAATCGCAACGATTTAGAAATCCTTTAAAAAGAAGCTGATGCAAAATTACCTGATTATGATGTCCAAATATTAAAACTACGAAGGCCTAGAGTTAAAATAATAGAATATAAACGAGATCTGGATAAAAATGAGTTAGAAAATTGTCTCAAGGTGCAAAACCAGTTTATAGACGAGCACGATGAATTGGAGATAACATTTAAGTATACGCAGAAACCCAAAAACCAAGTCAAGCATCATATTTATGGAGTGCTCCCCAACACTGTTTCACAAACTAATGTTCAAAAAGAAAATATTTATTGGATGGAAAAGATGTCCTATTTACGAGGACATCAGAATTTCTAGGTGCTACAAATGCCAGGAACACTACCACAAAGCTGAGGAGTGTGAAAACGAAACTGTGTGTGAATACTCTGGACCATGATGTTCATGATTGCCCAAAAACTCATCATCAAAAGTGTGTAAAATTGTATTAAAGCTAACAGCAAGTATAAGACCAAATATTGTACAAATCACACCGCAAACGATCCTACTTGTCCTTCCTATCAATACCTAATAAATGTGTTACAAAGTAAAATTGATTATGGCAAGCAAAATTGATGTTATCTACACAAACAAAGCATGAAATACTGAAGAACCTTGAAGATACAAATCATAGGGAGGAGGTAATTGATTGTGAAGTGTTTTTTTTTTGTACGGATATGCGCACTCCCAAGGAAATGTCCTATCACGCTCGAGAAACGGCAAGTGCGCGGAAATGTCGGTGTATGTTGGTCTTGAAACGGTTCAGGTTGTAACCTGCAGGGAAAACCGTCGCAGGGAGTTTATTCCACAGCGATGCTGTTCTCCAGAGATATGAATTCTGATATAATGAGGTTCTTGGTACCTCTAGTTTGACAGTAAATTCATGGTTACCGTCTGTTTGACGGGTTCGCCTGGTAGGCGCTACTCTTGGTGGAATCATACGTGCCAACTCTTCAGAGCATTTTCCGTGATAGTACCTGTAGAAGAGAGATAAATCGCCCACAGATCTGCGATGTTCGAGACCATCCAAGTTACGAGTAAGTGCGGGGTCATTGATCAGCTTGATAGCTCGTTTTTGCACGGTGTTCAAAAGCATTAAGGTATGTTTGGGTGCTGCACTCCATATATGTGAGCAGTACTCCATAGTTGGTCGAATCTGGGCTTTGTAGAGTGTCAGCAATTGGCTTGGTGTGTACAGATGTCTTGTACGAAATAGCACCCCCAGCTTTTGGGACGCCCTTTTAGCAATATCTGCCACGTGATTGTGCCAAACATGTTGGTCTCTGCAGTAACCCCCAAGATGTTCAACTGACTCTGTAATGTGACAGCACTTCCAGATAACATGATGTTTGGCTCACCGGTGCTGGTCTTTTTTGAAAACAGAGCTGCTTGGGTTTTCTGCGCGTTGAACTGTACAAGGTTGTTGTTACCCCAGTCCTCTATTATCTCCAGGTCGTTATTTATCTGCGATATTTGAGTTAGTCTAAGATGATGGAATTCACGTGCGGAAAGACCTGTGGGTGGTATGAGTGAGGAGACTACATTGCCATCGTCTGCAAAGCAATAAAGTGGATTTACTGTTTTATCTATGAGGTCATTTATGTAAATCAGAAAAAGAGTTGGCGAAAGGATTGCTCCCTGTGGCACACCAGCATTTATTTGGTAAGAGTTGGAGTTCTGGCCATCCAGTGCAACATAAATGGATCTGTCCTTTAGGTAACTTTCAAACCAAGTGCAAAGTTTCGGCGATAATCCCATTGCTTTGAGCTTGTTGAGCAGATTTTCATGCCAAACTTTGTCGAATGCTTTAGATATATCTAAGGCAATTGTTCTTGTTTCACCCCGCAACTCAATCGCTTTTTGCCATAAGTGCGTGACGTATGTAAGTAAATCGCCAGTTGACCTATATTTTCGAAATCCGTATTGCTTATCGTTGATAATTTTGTACTTTTCCAAGTACTTGGTTAGGTGATTGTTCACAACTCTTTCCATTACTTTTGATATCACCGGAAGTAGAGCAATTGGTCTATAGTTTAACGGATCTGTCTTTTTTCCTTTCTTTGGAATGGGTTGTACTGCGGCAGACTTCCATGATGATGGATATACTCCTTGCCTGTAAGACAAATTGAATAATTTTGCGAAAGTTGGGGTGAGTTCGTTGGCGCAATTTTTGAGTACTATTGCGGGAATGCCATCCGGACCCATTGCTTTGTTTGTATCTAGCTTTTTAAGGAATTTTCGTATTTCTCTGTGACAAAAGGGTACCTCTGGCATACTATGGGAAACCCTTTCAATGAACGGTGGAGTTTTTCCGTTTGGCACTGTTAGGTTGGAGTTGGAGGAAAACATTTGGGCCAGCATATTGGCTTTTTCCTCTGATGTTGTGGCTAAGTGATTATTTTTATCTGTAAGTGGTGGTATGGATGACTTGGTGAAGTTAGATCCAACAGCTTTTGCAAGAGACCAAAAGGACCTAGAACTACTTGGACAATTCAGCAACCTGTTTTTTATTCTTTGATTGTATGTTTCTTTAGCGGAGTCAATAGTAATTTTGCAACTATTTCTGGCTTCTATAAATTCTGTGTGGTTTTGAGCGGTTTGTTGTCGTTTCCAAAGGTTATATGCTCTGTGTTTTTTCTGTACAGCCGTTTGAGACTGGCTGTTGAACCAAGGTTTTGCATTAGCTCTACGTTTAGTTGTATGTGGGATATATGCATCCATTCCAGATAAAATTACTTGTGTTATTTCATTACAGCAAATAGTGGGATCAGCTGTTTTAAAGCAAACCTCTTGCCATGGAAAATCCAGGTAAAACTGTTTTAGGTCATTCCATTTTGCCGATTTATAGTGCCACATTTTACGAGGAAGTGATTGTTGGCTTGGTGGGATGAGCATTTCGCACATTGTTATTATAAGTTTATGATCGGACGAACCAAGTGGAGCATCTACTTGAATTGTGTACGAGTCAGGATTTCTGGTTAGGAACAAGTCTAAAAGCGCTGCAAATTCGCCCCTTTCTGAGATACGGGTAGGTTCATCGACAAGCTGCGTTAGACCACAACTTATGGCAAAAGCTTCTGCTTCTCTGCCTTCGTTATCTGTTTTGTTGTGGTGTTTCAGCCAGGGTATATTGTGGACGTTGAAATCGCCTAAAAAGACAATTTCCGCCTGTGGATAGTTTGACTGTATACTATCACAGCTTTCGGATAATGTCGCGAAAAAGTTTTGGTACTCGGTGTTAGATGGCGGTCGGTAGAGGCAGCAGATAAACTTGGTCGATGACTTTGAGGTGAATTTTAGCCATATGATATCAAGGTTCGCTGGTTCTAGCTTCTCCTCTCGATGACATGAAAGGTCATTTTTAATGTACACACAGATCCCAAAATTATGTCGAAATCGGTGGTGTAGGTCATAGCCGGGATAAAGATAGTTCACAATAGGTGTTGCAGAACTGATTTTAGTTTCAGTGAGAACAAGGATGTCAGGTCTTTGCTCTTCAAGATGTTGGTGAACTGAATTCATATTTGTACTTATTCCTCTTATATTGCTAAAATCAATTCTGAGTTGAGTTTTTGATCTTCTCTTTATATCTTTGCATGAAGGACCCCCAGGATCACCCGACGCCCGGAGATCCGAGTGGTCGGGTATTTTACCTCCGGAATATTTTGATCCTGGAGGCGCCATCATGCTATCTGTTACTCATTGTTGGAACCGGACTGCCAGCGCAGTAGCGGAACGTGGTGATACCACTTAGCGCTACTCAATTCTGGCATGGTGGTATCTCACCGGTCGACGCCCAATGAGTAAAAAGCGTCTACCACCTATCAGTGTTAGTATCAAAACTTAAACTGAAGAACAAACTTATTGATATATTATACTTGAACATACGTATAGCATTCGTAATAACTTTGATGAACTTTTAGCATTTTCAGAATTAGAAATTATAATTATGCTGTCAGAATCTTGGCAGATTGCCAACGATCAGCTGTTCAATATTACATGGTATACCTACTTTGTCCTACAATAACGCAGACCTAAATAAGAATGATGGAACAGTTGTTTATATAAGATCAGATTTGAACTTTGAAGTTGATACTATAAAATTACAATTCTCAGGAGATACAGTAAGTAAGATCACTTTGAATAGAAACAACACATCATTCTCTCTATATTGTATGTATAAGCCACCCTCATCTAGTGTCCCATCCTTTCTAAGAGATATTGAATCACTATTTTCAGTGAACTGGAAAAGTCAAATTGATATAATAATTGGTGATGTAAATATTAATTTGGGGGCAGTAAATGACAATGATGCCAACACTATATTTCTATGTTGAATCATTTTGGCTATTTATCAGCAATTAATAGCCCTACTTAGGTTACAAACGAAACATATACAAAAATTGATCATATATTTATCAAACTCAAATTAAGAACTAATCTAGAATGTTCATTTTTTGTACTAAAATCTTCGGTCACAGATCATTACCCAATTATGCTAAATATTGACTTTTGTGACAAAGACTCTCCAGGATCTAACCCGGAAATGCACCCCTCGATTAAAGTAGATTATCAAGCTTTTCTTGGCCATATTTCGATGGAGGACTGGAACCGTGTCTTGGAGCTGACGGATGCAGAACTGACTGCTGAGAAATTCATGGAAATTGTAAGTGACTTACTTAATAGATCTAAAGTAAAGAAAACACTCACTATTAAAATCAACAAAAAACCTAAGCCTTGGATAACAAATGGTATCGTTAACAGAATAAAAATAAAGGATAGGTTAAAAAAGAAATTACTTAAGCATTACAATGAAGATAATAAAGCGAAATTTACTGAATATAAAAATAAGCTGAAGAAAGTCATACAAAAATGAAAACATGATTACTATATAAGGGTGAGATAGAAAATAGTGGCAAAGATATAAAACGAATTTATAAGATTATTTCTGATGCTTCGAACACAAATAGGAAGAAACAGAATAATCTTGCTATTAAAAATAAGAATGTGGATTTCCCAAATTTCAAAGAAATGGCTAACTTCTGTAATGAGTTTTTTGTAAATATAGGTATAAACATGTATAAAAAAATAAGGAACCCAGCTCATGTAATTAGAACTGACTACAATTCGCTCACCTCAATGCTTTTAAGACTAACTAACTCAAATGAGTAGGTAGACTGCCGTATCTTTTGTACTTAACATAAGCTTTTTTTTACTTATAATTAAGTTTTTCAATTCTGAAGAATACCCTATAGAAAACTTACGCGACGATACTTTTTTTTAAGGAACAAGGAAATTAATTGCTTGATATAAATATTCATAAAAATCGTTGACAATTAAATTTAATAAAGATCTATCCTTGAATAAATTAGCCCAGTCAATATGAGAAAAAAACTCGTGAATGGAAAGATAGACAGCCCAATTAAAAATCCCTACAGAATTCTCCACCATGCAAACCTGGATTGTTAGAATGGGTCGAAAATACAGTTGATACTTCAAGTGGTGGGTGGTTGTTGACCGAACGACGCGAGCGAAATTCTACTAGATAGTTCACTGTCAAACGTGACAGACTGCCAGCCAGACACGCCATTTTATTTTCTTTAATTTTTTAAATTTCTTTCGGATATTTTGTCACGGCACGGTTGTAGATAAAATCAAAATACTGTATCTGATACTGTATACTGTACTGTATACAGGGTGTCCCACCGAGAACCACATCGATCTATATGTGAAAAACTGTAGGCGGAGGGTCAAACAACCTGGCTAAAATATTTTCAAGATGGTGGCGCTTCCGGTTATACCGTAAGTATGTCAACTTGCTTATTTTAAATGAGACACCCTGTATATTATTGCATATTAGGATTCTACGTAAAATTCTGAGCAGATTTTATGTGATACACTTTATACCTAAGTTCAACTGCTTTGGAATTATTGACAGTCGAAAATTGAGTTTTTGCAACTTTGACAGGCTGTAAAACCTAAGCGGTTAATTTTTGAGGAAAACCGATTTTACATTCCTATCTTAGATTTTCATAAACTATCATTTGACATCAACAACAATTTAATTGGAATTTTTAATCATTTAGAGTGCAGCATCGACAGCTGCAACCAGAAGTAGTCCGACGGACCAAAACTTTTGAAGAACAGCGACGCAGAGACGAGACCGAAAAGAGAAGCCACAGGAAGGAGCAAGAGAACAGAGGAAGAGGCAATGCTACTGAGGGCTGGGTGTGCCAAGCCTATGGAAAAGTGTGCGGCTCCAGAATTGGTTTATATACCTACCCATCAGAAAACGCACAATCGACGACCATCGGAATAGAATAGAAAATAATCATACTCGGTATCGAGTGATCGCCAAACTATTCATGATCAGATTTCGGGACAAACATTTGACGGTCCACTAAACTAGCTTCAACTGCGCTTCAAGCCATCAGAATTCTAGAACAAACCTGAATGATCAGGTAGTTGAACGGTTCCCCATTATCAAACATAAAGCAACATTTCTCTAATTAATTAGTAGGTATAATTTCCAACCTGTATTGTATGTAAAAATTGAGTAATTTGTAATAAGTTAGATATTATTATGGCCGAGTTCAGAAAATAGCTCCAAGAGCATAATGACGGAAATTTTGACAGTTTTCACGTGTGTAATTTATAAAGTCTGCGATGTCATTTCCGAACTTGCCTTATGTTGTAGGAAGTATAGTATATTATTATAAAAATATGACGTTTGTTAAAATTTGTCAATATCCACCTGAATATCATGTCGAATCATGTGATAATAAAATAGTTTGTGAAAATTCAATAAAGTATTTTCATAAAGCATAGTAAATTATAATTTTCATCAAGTAGGTACCTAATGGTTAACTCGTTAGAAATTAACAAATTCCCATCAGAAAGCCCTGCTTGTAGCATCCCCTATTCTGCGGGATGGTAGTCCCTAAGTTCAACTTTCTAGCACTCCGCTGTTATTTTTCTTACTTGTGTTGCGTATTAGGTACCTACTTGTTTTTTAAAAATCCAAAAAATAACCGAAGATGTTTATTCAAGTGAGAAACTGAAACACAAAAATTTGTAATTTCACTCTTCCAGGCGCGTCCAAGGACAATTTAACCAATCTTTCGTGAGCAATACTGCAAATAGCTGGACAATTCAAAATTTGCATCCCCGAAAGGTAATTCAAAAATTTCTTCGAATCTATCGTTGCTGTTACTTTGACATTATCTTCATCTGTGTTTGGAATATTTGCTGGGACGAAACTGTGGACCAGTAATTCAGGAAAATCTGCTTTCAACTTCACTGCGCTCGTATCAATGTCCAAAGCGAAGTTTTCCAGAGTAAGTTTGCCTGTTTCTTCAATACTAAGTGATATCCACTCGCTGAGATTTTTTATGCTATCCACAACTGGTTTTATGTTTTTCCACTGGGGCATTTGAATTGAGGCATGAAAAGCATTGGATGCGGGTTCTTCTCCGTAGCCGCTCCAATATTTTTCTGCCAATAATTTTACTGCACGCATCGGCTAGTTCGCTGTTCTACTAACATCTGAAATTTTTAATTTAAAGTTGATTTTTCCAGATCAAAAAAATAACTTACCAATTCCATGTCAAATGTCAAATAAATCGCATCGGAATCATCGGATTCTGTTATTTTTATTTTGACCAGGTTAGTATTTTGTTTCAAAATCGAACAGGTTTCAGCCAATGATGCTGTAGGTAATTCTAAAAAAATGTCATTTTTCGCCTTGTCCATCCTCACCACTTCGTACTCTTCAAAATAAAATCTAATAGGCAGTTCGCACCACACTGACGGGCGTCGGAAGCCTATTGCTTTTTCAGAAAATATGAAGAAGACTTTATTTTTGCTTAATTTTAGAATGCATGTTTTACCGATTTTTTTCAAGCTTAGAGAAACATCTGTAAGAGGATTTTCTCTTTAAATTTTCTTATTGGGTATGGTAGATACTTACTTGAAAATGTTCTCATAGCCGCTTGGTCGTTCATTAGAGCTTCGAATTTCATGTCTAAAATAAAAAAACGGTTTATGATGAGTTGCAAATTACTTTAATGATTTTGTCATTAAAATTGGGGAAAAATCTTGCAAATCAAATCCACACGCCACTAGAATATAGAGAAAATGTTGAACGAGTCCCAAATACATAATTTATACTTTTTGGAAACAATCTATATTTCATGAGCAGAACACGTAAAACACCTTGGCATACTTGGATGGTCAGCTAAATATATAAAACATTTGATAAGTGAAACAAGCTTTTCATTCATTTAGTCCATCATTCATCATTCATCTAGGAAACTATCTAGAGGCTGATAACTTGAAAAAAGTGGATTTCGCGTACAAGGAAATCGGATATAGGTCCTTTAAGTTTTTAGCTCCAAAATTTTACAATTTCTTACCCAAAAACTTACGAGATGACATATTTAGGAGAACCTTCAAAAAACAAATTGAACATTGGATTATATAAACTACCAGACTAGATATTGGCGAATAATTCAACATTGTAATTTAGATAAGTTTTAGATTAGATAGATATTTATACATACAGAGACTCTTAATATTAAATTATTTAAATAAGAATAGATTACGAAAAAAGACCTTGCAACCAGATTGTACCTACTACCCAACTATGACTAACAGTAACTCATCATCATCATAGGCGGTCACTCGATACCGAGTATGATTATCTCCTACAAACAGGGAGACCTGCAGAAATCTCTCTACTGAAAACAGTCTTTCAACAGGTTTTAACATTTGCATTATTGAATGCACAAAGTTCATCCCAGAAAATCCAGATATTTTTGATAAATTTAAATCAGATCACAGCCATGATAGGTATTCGGTTTAAAGAAAAATTGAAACTACTCATTATTCGCATATCTCAAAAAACGTTATACACGGTATTCTGAAAATCTGGGATGCCATTAACCCTGTCTTCCATAAGCAATCGTCACAGAGGATCAAACGAACACTGAAAATTTTCTTGAGCTCTAAAGTCTACTATAGTTTGGAGGAATTCTTTTCTGATAATCAGTTCAAAAATTTAGGGAAATAGATAAAATCACAAAACAATCAATTATCTTGTAACAATAAGAACAGTTACTAACAATAAGGTAGTTGCACTGACGCCTTATGTGTTGCAACTCTGGACGTCGGGATCAACGGTGAAACAGAAACACTTACTTTCGTAAGTTTTGTTCAGCTTTACCTTTAGTGTATTTACGTTTTATGTTAGTATGTATTCTGGAAAATTATAAATTTTGTGGGTTTCTTTAAGTTTAATTAAAGTTTATGTATTGTTCTGTATTCATTTATCTTTTAAATTATTTTATTGACATGATCGACACCCTATGGTTAAAGAATGTATTTAATCGAATAAAGAGTCTTATCTTAAGCAGCGCTTATGGTATTTTTCTAAACACCTCAGATGTCTAGTAAAAAAGTTTTTTCCGGGCTATAATGCCGTGGTCGAGTAATATTTCTACCTAACGTTTCGTCTACTGCTGCGGTAGACATAACCAGAGGCGGTGTGGTAGAAACGAAGTATTCTCTTCCGTGTTCCTCCGATGACTGGATTCGACGTTGTTGGACCTGCATTATTTATTTCAGGGTTGTGGGCGCGGCTTGTATTACGCTATTTTCCTTGTCTCGTTCTCGGAAAGGAAGGGTCTTTGTTTTTCGGAAAACTGGCAACCAGCTTTTGTTAAGGTTCATGCCCTCTTCTTTTCTGTTGAAGTTGTGGTGTTTCTAGATCTCTATGGCTTTTCTGTGGAGTCTGGTGTAAAAATGTTTGCTCCTATCCAATGCTTGAGTCTGGTCGAAACGAATCACATGGTGACGACTACGTACTTCCAATGGCAAAATGAATTCTTTGAGCAGACAGATGGAGTCGCAATGGGCAGTCCACTCAGCCCGGTTATCGCCAACTTCTACATGGAACACTTTGAACAAATGGCACTGCGAACGGCCACAAAGAAACCTACTTGTTGGTTTCGCTATGTAGATGACACTTTTGTTGTTTGAAATCATGGACAGGCACAGCTCGAAAACTTCTTTAATCGTCTAAACTCAATAGAACCCAAGATACAGGTTACGATGGAAATTGGAAAGGATAACAAAATTGCATTCGTCGACGTCCTCTTAGAAATATTACCCTCAGGGAAACTGAGACACAGAGTATATAGGAAGCCGACGCATACGGACAGATACCTCAACAAGGAATCCAATCACCATCCTAGGCAAAAGAGAGGAGTTATTAAAACTTTATCTGACAGGGCAATCCGGATTTGTGAACCCAGATACCTTCAGGACGAGATGCAACACCCAAAATCAGCACTTGAAGGAAATGGGTACTCCAAGCAGGAGATAGATAGAGCTATAAGACCGAAGCAACAGCGCACAAATAATAAGGAACCAGCACAGGTGGCAGGGAGAGCCTTTCTACCCTACAATAAAAATGTCACAGATCGCATAGGACGAACGCTATAGAAAAACACAACATTAAGCCCATCTACAAGCCTACAAGAACAATTCAGCAAAGTCTAAGATCGGCCAAGGATCCTAGGGCACCTCTTAAAATGGCTGGCGTCTATAGAATTCCCTGCTCTTGTGGATCTGTCTATGTAGGAACAACCAAACGCTCTATTAACACCAGGGACAAGGAGCATAAAAGAAACTGTCAGCAGGGACAAATAGATAAATCACTTAGATCAGCTATCACCGAACACGTGTTAACACAAACAAACCATGTCATTCGTTTCGGCCAGACTCAAGACTCATTGGATAGGAGCAAACATTTTTACATCAGATTCCACAGAGAAGCCATGGAGATACAGAAACACCACAACAACTTCAACAGAAAAGAAGAGGGCATGAACCTTAACAAGAGCTGGTTGCCAGTTCTCCGAACCACACAACCTTGGATATAAACAACGTAGGTCCAACAACGTCGATTCCAGTCATCGGAGGAACATGGAAGAGATTCCTTCGTCCTCTACCACACCGCCTCTGAAGATGTCTACCGCAGCAGTAGACGAAACTTGAGGTAGAAATATTACTCGACGACGGCATTATTATAGCCCGGAAAAAACTTTTTTACTAGATTTGACCGTTCGTGAAAGCCTCCATTCTTTATCTCAGATATCGCCTGTAGATGTTCCAGGTTTCAAATCCGTAGGGAAGTGTTGGTTTGACGCTGCGGCTGTAGACCGCTAGCTCATCAGTTTGGGCACGTAGGTTTGTCGTGGTTGTCGAACAGAGAGGTCGAAAAGATGCGCTGGCGCGCTTTATTCGATGCAGAATTGCTTGTGTCCTTGCTTAAATTCATTTAAAGTAGTTTGTAGGTCTCCCTCGGTGCTTGCGAGCGTTATCATTAGCATAATATTGAAGCTGAGAAACAGTTGTTTTGGTCTGTGGATACCTTGTTCTTGGCTCGAACTCTGCTGAGATTGTGTGTTTTTCCGGTAGTTTATTTAACGGAAAAAGTACCTATCATCAGCTTAAATTTGACTAAAACACATTGTTTTACATGTACCTTAAATACAGAATTATTATTTAAGTATAAATGGACAAAAAGGAGTGCAGTTAGCGCCCCCTATCAATCACATGTTACATGTTTGAGATACCTTATACCTCCAGTGACTCTAAGGCGCGATTATCATTACAGATCGCCCCATATTTATTTTTTTGTTACCCTGTTAAAATGTCAAAGCACGAATGAGCTAACAATAATGAATAAAAATGTTTCGCATGACTAAGATAAATGAGCAGGCTCATAAGAATTTCAAGGTGTCGTTTTTCAATTATTGAACTCTAATATCCGCGAAACTATGAGAAGTACTGGTAAAACCCTCCAAGTTGTTCTGTACAATCGAACTACTAGTTCTTCTAAAACCCAGACAAAAAAAGGAAGGGTCTGTCGAGGGGTCTGTTGTCTCGTCTCGTCTCGTTTTCTCTCGTCTCTCGTCGGTTTTGACGCAAAGTAGGTTAATTTCGACTCCGAGGTCAATAAAATGCAAAAATGTATTCTCGCTCCTTAACTAAAATGTATGAACATGTAATATTACCCATCAAAAGGTTCGGGACACCACTGGAATAATCAAGCCTATTTTAATTACATGAAACTAGCTTTATTTTATTATAGAGCCACTGGAAACATTTTGCTTACCTACAATTTAGATTAGAAAGTTATGTAAACACATAAAAAAAAGTTCTTTATTTAGTTATTTCAAGCATTTGAAAGCAATTTAAGAATAAATTTATATTGCTCAAGAGAGCGAGAGAGCTCGAAAAATTCTCGACGAGGGACAGCATTCTCTCGTCTCGTCTCGAAGTGACTTTTCGAGGAAAAATTGCGAGAGACGAGAATTTCTCGTCTTGGCGGCATCACTAATGGAAGCCCATATAGGCTGAATTTGTGCAACCGCACACTTTGCAGCCCACTTGACAGCACACTATGCGGTGAACTAACTTCACCGCATATTTTGCGGTAAAGTGCTTGTTTCCGCTCGCAAATAAGTTCGGTAAACTGCACTTTCCGTGCGCTCATAGGCAATAGCGAGATTATTGCATTAGGCCTGTTCGCAGAGCAATCACAAACCAGTCAGAGCGAATTTCATTGGTTGAAAACAATCAGAAACAGTCAGAAAACTAGTTTCAACCAATGAGATTCACTCTCACTGGTTTGTGATTTCTCTGCGAACAGACCTATCATCGACTTATTAAAAAAATAATAAATTTTAATTTTTAGGAATATTTGGCAACAGCGCCGTAGCAAGGCGTTGATGGGCCCTGGTGCCACTTTTGTTAGAGGGCCCCTCTCCCAGTAATTTTTCTAGATAATTTAGGTTTTTCGGGTGGGTATAAAGAAAATTACGAAAAATCCGAAGTTGAAAATTTATTCAGGTAAAAAAATAAATATGTTTGAAATATTAAAAATCAACTTTTCTAGCTGTTTTAGCTGCGAACACTTCTTATCAGCTCATTTAAATTCAATGAACGTGCTACC